CGAAAACGAAAACGATGACAGTTCAATTAAGCAATTGGGGGTGATAAGGGGCACTAAATTGCTCACCAACAAAAACTATGGCTGATTGAGGTGTATCTGAATGCAAAAAATGTAGCAATGTTGAATGCCTCTCTGTTTTACCAAATAGCTGACAACACAAAAGTTAAAAGAATAAATATTTATATAAAGAGGATAAAAAGATGTAATAAAAGACAGGCTGAGCAGTGGAGTAAATGAAGAAGCTAACTTCACAGAAAACTGAGGCAAAAATTAATACTAGAATGTGCATAAAAAAATCGTTATTTCAAACTCGCAAATTAGAATGTTAATTTATCGGGGTAATATCTTCTCACCACAAATCTGTGACACAGGCATGATGGAAGAGGTTCAGCAGGATTCACATGGACATGAACAACATCAGCCCGTGATAATCACTGAGGCACATAGACATCATCCAGTCAGTACAGGATGACACAAACCCAGTGACAAATTACTCAGATAATAAATATTTTAGCAAACCTTGGTCCATTTCTGCTGTTTACAGTCGTACAGAAACCATCCGTGCTGAGGAATTGATGCACTAGTAAATATGGTTTGACACATATGGATTGACAAGTAAGTGGTCAACAGCTTCCGAGAGAACTCACTTTTTTCGAAGAGTTAAACATAAAATCAATGTTCCAATGGTCCAAGAATTGCACTAAAGCTAGGATGTTGCAGATGAAAGACCAAATCAGCATAAAAAAATCATTGAAGCGTCAGAAGCATAGAACTCTTAAGAAGGATACATGTTCATGTCAAATACCAACACTCACTCTTGAACATGCGACCTGCACGACTTTGTCTGCGCGCAAAAATATGAAGTGAAAAACTCAAAATATCAGACACCACTTGAACTACAAGACTGAACAATGATGTACAACTGACTAGAGATCTAATACTTGAATGTCAATTCATCTATCTCTAAACTTTGTTATACACCATGTAACTTGTAAGTAAACTACTACATTACAAAATTGGGTGGAAATAATTTCCATCCTTTCCATCGAAAGATTTGTGTTTTCAAGGACATAAGAGTACATCCAAAATCTTAATCAGCAGAAAGTATCAGTTTCTTTCAGAACTGTGTAGCCTTGATCTTACATTTTGGTGGTATGCCAAGATATATGAAAACTTACAAGTATTTATTTGGTACATAGATAATCTATGGAATAAAAGGAAAAGACAGGATCGTCTTCATCACCTCATCAATAACCAACACTCGCATAAAATCCAACTTAAAATATTTGCTTGTCAAGCATTTGGGATAGACTTCCCAAGGTTGCAATCACAATTGCA